TCCAGGCTCGATCATCAGTAATGATTCAGGCCTGTATCAGGACTGGTCCATGTTCCAACTCTTGGGCGTGTAGGGGAATGTCCCCAGTTAGTGCTGGGAACAAGGCATTCCCCCCCTGTGGCTGCTATAATTAAATTTACTGGCTGAGCTACTCATTTCTTTCCCTTCTGAACTCATTTCCGATCACTGATTTTACTTATTCATTTGTTTTTATTTTTTATTCTATTTTATTTTATCAGATTTGATTTTATTTGATTTTATCTGCTGTATATTAATTCTCATTTTCTGTATTTGTTAATTATTTATTTATTTACATATTATTTATCACAATCTACTCATTATCCATTTATCACTATCCATTCATTCATTTTTTTGTTGATTATTAATTCTTATATTTTATCTGTTCATTTATTTATCTATTTATCTTATTTTCTCTTTTCTTTTGTTTCTTCTGATTTCCGGGTGCCAGCAGTTCTTGTTGGTAACCCTTCAGGATGCTTCCTCTGTCCTCTCTTTCTCTCTGTACTGTACTTATTTTTATTGTTCTACGCATTCTGTAAAATTACAATTAAATTAAATTAAATTAAGTAGCCATTTTGCCATACGGAAGTAATTGGGGCGAGCATGAGCGAGACCCACACTAATCTGTCTAGGCATAGATACTACATACACACATGGATATGAAACAGGAAGTCGGTATCCAATTAACTCTTTGAAGTTCACCTGTAAACGTCATAACCAGCATAGCTCTATCCTTGGCGCTTTTCTCTCTGTCTATGTTTTCAAGAATTTTCTTTACTCACTTATTTTTGTGAAAGAAGGTATATAGGTGTTTTTGTTTTGTTCAGTAGACCTAATAAATATATTCTCATTTCATTTTGTCAACAGGCCTCATGTTTACATGACAAAATTAGAAGACCTCCATTTTTATTTGTAACCACCTTTTCTAGACTCTCGAACGGAGTTAGCTAGTAAGTCTTGGAATCATAATAGTGTATTGTTTGTTACATGGACTGAAACTATTCTCGTGTCAATGTAATGAGAAATGACTGAGATAATAGCCAAAAACTAGTTTTTTTAATATTAATTTTGTAACCACCTTTTTGAGACTTCTGCACCAGGTATGAACAAGTTACTACTTTGAGTGTATTCATTAAGGCCTCTTATATAGACTGTTTATGGTTTCATTTTTCTAGATGCTATGTTTCAAAAGTAATAATATATTTTTTGCAAGTGTTTCAAAGGGTGTGGTTTAATTTTTAGTGAGAACTGAGTAGTGAAAGAATAGGTTATTTACCAAGAAACACAAGCAGGATTTCAGTGGCATTGATGAGACATTGTTACATGATTGTAAAGCTTTATATTTATGCTACCACAGAGAACTATCAAGATAGAGATG